TGTTCTCAGAGTTCTATTGATACATTCTAGAGAAAGATATTAACGTAAGATTAATTCCCTAAGTATCAAACTTCACCTAAAAGCAGGAGAGAAAATTTATTTTATGATGGCTTTGCAATCTGAAAATAATTTTATGCCTGAAATTTATTGGCAGTGAGAAAATATGTAATTCATTAACTAAAATGATGCTGGACTTTCTAAGGAAATTCTAAGAAATTTGAGCAATTTTTCTGAAATTCACATGTTCCCATTACATAATTGCCTCTACTTTTCTAATTTTAGAAATTAAAATAGCCATGGAGATTATCTAGTCTTATTTTCTAAGCTAATAAATGGAAAAAGATTATTTATCTATACTAATATGTGCCTATCTAAATTATTAAAAAAGAATGCAAAATATTATATTGACCTGGTCTGTAACACTTGTGTTAATAGTAAAGTCAATGTGGAGAGGATAGTCTAGTTACTTCTTTTATTTTGAAAAGCAACTGACAATTATATTAGGAAGATGGATATTATATGAATTTGGGATGTTTCAGGAAGTTTTTTAGAGATAAGACAATCTGTACAATAGATAATGAGTGATAACACTTCCTTGTGTAACATTATAAAAGCTCGGGCTTTCTTCTCCCTTCAACTCTCATCCCTGCCCTTGTCCCCCTCCCCAAACCTTCTCTCTGAGTGTCTATTATGTTCAGCATACATATCTCTCATCACTCATTACTACAGTCTCCTAATGTCAAATCCCCAGTTAGTTTCTAATCATTGCAAAGGCTTTCCTTCTATCTGTATGCTGAAGGCAATAATGTTTCAGAGCGTAAATGGTTAGAGTGAAATCTTAGAAGACTTGTAGTCTCTATTTTGGCCTTTATGCAAAGGCTTCTGCAAAATTTTGTTTCACTTGCCAAATGTAGATACTACAAGGCATAGCACAAGGAGGGAGTTGTGCTGCCCTAGACTCTTGATTCAGTCAGAAGAGCAGAGAAGGCAACTTTTCTCTACCTTCTTCTTGGATCTTCTTAGGTTCTGTGCCCATTTTATCTATTAACAATTGTCTGAATACCTGCCCCTGAAGAGTAATTGATGCCTAAATTTCTTTGATGAAACCATCATGATTTTACCTTTTTCTTTTTTTTTTAACCATATATACTGTTTCCATCAGTGTAACCAGTTACTTTTTTTTTTTTTTTTTTTTTACATTTAAGCAATTTTCTCTCTGGGGATATTTTCAAATGCCAGAGAATCATAGGCTGTTATGGTTAAAAGAGAATAGTTCTCAACTGCCTCCTTTTTTCAAAGAGAAACTGAAAGGTTGTGTGATTTGCCTAAAGTTTGGTAAATAGTGGAAAAGAAGTAGAAAAGATTTTATCCTAGGCTAATGCTCTGTCTATATCATATGATACCTTTGGACATCTTTTCTTGATGTGCCTTTCAGGCTATTTTAAAGTCTATAATTTAGAATGGTTTGCTTATTCAAGTTAAGAAAATATTAGTAGATATAAAATATATTTATAGCTACTAGTTATAGTTATTAGATATAAATAACTAATGAAAGTAAGAATCACCTGCTATGTACTTAATTGTGAAAAAATAGTGTGCTGGAATGACTTTAACTTTCACTTTTACTTTCCTATATGTTGCCTGTGTTTGAGAATATTATCACTAATGTTTTCATGCATGTGTGCTCAGTCATGTCCAAATCTTTGCAACTCTATGGACTATAGCCCTCCAGACTCCTCTGTCCATGGGATTTTCCAGGCAAGAATACTGGAGTGGGTTGCCATTTCCTTCTCATGGGATCTTCCTAATCCAGGGATCAAACTCACATCTCCTACATTGGCTGGCAAGTTCTTTACAACCTGAGTCATCGGAGAAGCTCCACTAATATTGTTAAACCTATTATACTGTTACAGGATAAAATGTCTGATTCAATTATATGAAGATCATACATATCTCTGAAGAGGGAAAAATTAATCTGTACTTTAAAATTAAGGATAGTAAAAAAAAAAACTAAATAAAATAAAATTAAGGAGAGTAAGAAAAGAAGGAAGAAGTCTAAAATTTTTCTAAGCATTATTTTGAGAAAATTATTAAATTTCCAGACAATTCAGGAACCTTACAAAATCTAAATTTCATGGCAATAACTAATTGATTGTGCTTCAAAAAAAAAAATTGGAGTGCATTTGACTAATATTTCTGACAAATTTTTTCTGATCAGAGAAAGAAGGCTTACATGAAAAAACTATATATCTGTAATGTTTTGAGTTCCTTCTAGATATCAATGTTTTAACTATTTGATTAATTCCATTCATATCTCTGGAGGCTAAGTTGGAAGATCACATTTCCCAAGCATATGTGGCTGGAATGTTGGTCAGGAGTCAATCTTCTTTATGTGACCTTTAGTGAAGTTTTATTGATTTTAATTTCTAGAAGTCTCTACAAATTGCTGTGATTGCCAACATATTTCCTTGTTTACCGCTACCATGAAGAAAAGCAATGTAGCAAGGACTAGGCTAAATTCTGTGCAACATTTGAAAAGTTATTTTCATCGCTTCTTTGCTTCTTTTTACTACCTCTTTTACCACTCTCAGATTCCTGAGAGCTCCAAGTGCTCCCCCAGCTACGAAGGGCTTCCAGCAGGATACAGCATCCAGCCCTACCCCACATCCTTGGAGACAAGTCCATCCCAGGTACAGGCACTGTGCTTCCTACCTTCTTTAGAAGTAAAGCTGTTTTGTGGCTCATCATCTGAGGCCATGTCAGTTTTTCTTGGTAGCTTGTGCCTGACAACTAAATCCTTTCCAAGACTTAATGACCATAGATAAAGATGTGTGCACACTCTTCATTTTATCTTAGATAAGAAGCAGCATTTTATTTGTGTCTTTCTGAGGACCATATAACAGTGAGGGACCAGGAAAGGAGAAGAGCATGGAAAAAGTAGACAGTCAAGAAAGTTTCTGATATTCTTTCTAACTCTAACTTTGAGCTGGTAGAGTTTATTAGCATCTGTAAATTATACTCATGCCTACTTTATCTTACCTATCAGGCATAATATTTAGCAATAAAAAGCATTGGAAAGAGGCTTTATCTATAAGATTTAGGAAAAGGAGGAATCTGCAAGCCACCTAGCAAAAACTCCTATGATTGCATGAATTCACTCTAAAGTATTGAAAAAAAAAAAAAAGAATTTACTTAGGCCCATTCAGTAGAGTAAACTTGTTCTTTGAAAAGTTAGATAACACCATCCTTGAACAGGCATTATTGTCAGAAAGGAAATACTCTGATATGAAATAATATGTTATTAATAATGCTCATATATGTGTGGTTTTTACACTTGATTAAAGATTTATCATTTATAAATTTTTTTCTTTTAGCAAATATTTTCCATGTCTCTTTCAGGACAACATTATTCTCAATGCTTTATTTTTGAGATTAATGAGCCCTGAACAGTTAAGTGACTTGCTCAATGTCATACAGTTGCCTGATGACACAGTTGTGATCTTAACCTAGAATATTTTCCCAATAGATTTACGTTTCCATTATTGTATAGTATTTTATTGGGTATAAAAATAGTGTCTTTTTATTAAGTGATAAAGCTATTCTTATTTCATTTAATAAAGAATGTACTGGAGACTGATAGAAAAAGAAGGACCATCACCTTTAAAAGGAGTAAGGATTATAACATTAGTAAAGAATTTTCAGGAGGGAAAGTTTTAAATCTAACTGCTCTATCACCATCCTACCTAGCTCAGTGTTCTGGGAAAAATGGACAGTTAAATTATTATAAAACAAGTTTACTAAAAATAAGAATGGATTTATATTGCAAAAAACTTAGAGCTTTGTTTGCCCAAAATCTTCATCCTACATTCTTAAGAATGGAGGTATTGATTTAAGAGCTTTTCTGAGGTCAATGAGCTACTTTGTAACAGAAGAGGAAATAGTTATAATCTATATGTTTATCCTTCACAGTTTTTTCCATGCCTTTGGACCAAAGATGAGAAAGCTAAACTTTCTTCTTCATAAGAAAGCATAACTTTCTTATTTCCATAGCCCCCTATCATAAGAGAAAAAACTGAAAAGATGAAAATATTCATTTATTATGCAAATCTCAATGATTTATGACATAAAATATACAATCATCTTCCACTAATGCTGAATTGCGAAAGAGAGTTTCTGAAGAAGCCAATGCCCAAACTATCTTACTAGCAATGAGAAAAGAATTTTAACTGTTACAGCAGGAGGAGGTTTTTAGAACCCACATGGGAAAGAGAAAGAAAGTCCCCTTTTTTCTGTACATCCTAAGAAGCCACTCAACTGAATCAAAATCAGACCATTACTAGCAATCCAAAAGCCCCTCCATTGTTTCCTCCTGTCCCTTTAATCCCATCAAAGAAAACTGCTATCCTAGCTTCAAATACTATAGACTTGCTCATCTGTCTTTACACTTCATTTAAATAGAGTAATAGAGCATTTACTCTTTTGTGTCTAATGTCTTTTGCACATTAATTTTGTGAAAATGTATTTCCTTCTGGTAGCAGTTCACACATTTTTCTCTTTTTAAGAGTTCTTATTTTATTTAGTGAAGAAAAAATGACAATTTTGTCTCTGTAGATAATAATAGTGGATTTCTGTGATATATAAACAACTTTTCAGATATTTATTTGCAACATTCACTTGTAAATCTCATTTGCAAATTAGCTTTCTTAACTTACTAAACTTAAGCAATTAATAAATCAATTGGTTGAAATTCTCTCCACCAACCTCCCAACCACCACCCTCCTCTTCTAGAAAACTTTTGACTCAATATCCCATCCTGAGTTTGTTCTCTTTTGATTACTAGAGCACTGTCTCTATTTAGACACGTGTAAGGTCTAACAAGTACATGTGAGTAGAAACTAGACTCTCTAACTGAACTGGAAAATTAAACCACAATTAGTTCATTCACTGATTTCTATTTCTCTCTTATTCAAGTGACTGAAGAGAAGTCTTTTGCAAAGTCAATGAATGAGACAAATCATTCTCGGGTGACTGAATTTGTGTTGCTGGGTTTATCTAGATCCCAGGAGCGCCAACCTTTCTTGTTTCTCATATTTTCACTGCTCTACCTAGCAATACTACTGGGAAACTTTCTCATCATCCTCACTGTGACCTCAGATTCCCGCCTTCATACCCCTATGTACTTTCTGCTTGCAAACCTCTCTCTTATAGATATATGTGTTGCCTCCTTTGCTACCCCCAAAATGATTGCAGACTTTCTGGTTGAGCACAAGACTATTTCTTTTGAAGCCTGCCTGGCCCAGATTTTCTTTGTTCATCTATTTGCTGGTGGTGAAATGGTGCTCCTTGTATCCATGGTTTATGACCGTTATGTTGCTATATGTAAACCTCTCCACTACACGACAATCATGAACTGGCGTGTGTGTATTACTCTGGTCCTCATTCCATGGTGTGTGGGTTTCATCCATACTACTAGCCAGCTGGCATTTACTGTTAACTTGCCTTTTTGTGGGCCTAATCAAGTGGATAGTTTTTTCTGTGACCTCCCTTTAGTGACCAAACTGGCCTGCACAGACACTTATGTTATCAGTTTACTAATAGTTGCAGACAGTGGCCTTCTTTCTTTGAGTTCCTTCCTCCTGTTGGTTGTATCTTACACTGTGATACTCATCACAGTTAGGAGCCACTCCTCTGCTAGCACAGCCAAGGCCCGCTCCACACTGACTGCTCATATCACCGTGGTCACACTCTTCTTTGGACCATGCATCTTCATCTATGTGTGGCCCTTCAGTGGTTATTCAGTTGGCAAAGTCCTTGCAGTGTTCTACACCATCTTTACTCCAATTTTAAACCCGGTTATCTATACTCTAAGGAATAAAGAAATGAAGGCAGCTATGTCAAAACTGAAGAGTCGGTATCTAAAATCTGGCCAGGTTTCTGCAGTCATAAGAAATGTTCTTTTCCTAGAAACAAAGTAAATTTATAGAACTGTTATTACCACTGTAGTCTGTGGCTAGACATTTACAAATTGAATATTTGTGATATTAAAGCAAATCATTTTGACTGATGAGGAAGACTGATTAACTTGAATTAAAGAGTAATGATGATAAAAAAAGACATTGAATGAATTTTACTTATTTTTAAACTTTCTTGCCCTAAATATGTGCTTTTATTCCTTTTTTTTCTAATTCTATTTCCTACTTTTTATTTAACCTCTTTAAGATACAGCCTTTGAAAACATTGAGGATGGAATTTATATTTAAGTGTCAATTAAACTGTATCTTTCCCTCTCAAAATAGTACTGCTCAGATGCCAATTTTGGAGTAATAAAAGGTACATAGCACTTTATCATAGAGATAATAAATCTATTTACACATATAACGTATGATATACTTAAGTAAGAATGCATTTCCACTGTGTTATGTAACTGACAGCATGAAGACAGTTCTGATTGTCTATAAGGTGTAATGGAGAAGGAAATGGCAACCCACTCCAGAATTCTTGCCTGGAGAATCCCAGGGATGGCGGAGCCTGTTGGGCTGCTATCTATGGGGTCACAGAGAGTGGGACACGACTGATGTGACTTAGCAGCAGCAGGAGCAGCAGTAAGGTATAAAATGGCCTGGTTATACAGCAGAAGGCATTTATATTCAACACTTTCACAAATCCTTGTTCAATGTTGTTGCTTAATATGCATTATTTATGGAAAACAATTCAGAAGATAAATATGCCAGTGTGTTCTGTGTCTGGTTATCTTAATTTCTGTTTAATACTGATAAAATAATCTGAGAATTTTGGAGACGAATTATAATTCTCTACCTCTTGTCTTCACAATGATGAGAGACTGACTCTAAGATAAAACACATCCCCCAGGTCTTCATGATTCCTGTATTTTCAAATAGGAGTGAAAGTCATTCAGTCGTGTCCAACTCTTTGCAGCTGCATGGACTAGGCAGTCTTTGGAATTCTCTAGGCCAGAACACTGGAGTGGGTAGCCTTTTCCTTCCCCAGGGGATCTTTCCAACCCAGGGATTGAACCCAGGTTTCCCACATTGTGGGCGGATTCTTTATCATCTGAGCCATAATGGAAGCCCAAGAATACTGGAATGGGTAGTCTTTCCCTTCTCCAGTGGATCTTCCTGACCCAGGAATCAAACCAGGGTGTCCTGCATTGCAGGTGGATTCTTTACCAGCTGAGCTATTAGGGAAACCCTTCAGATAGGTAAGGTAGTTTTCAAATAGATACTTGGTAGAAACTGTCATATTTCTAAGTGGACTTTTTCTTTAGTTAACATCTTATTTTTTATATTGCCTAATGCATGTCCAGAAAATGACAGAATCCTATTTCAAGGCCTTAGGAATAGTCATGAATTTATCCTTCCCCAATCACCTACAAAATCAATATTCTTTTAGGATTTCCTACTATATGCTATTTTTGGTTTTTTCTCTTGTACTGTATTCAAGACTTCTATATTTCATACTGTGTTTGATTCTACCGTATGTTATAACGTTAATGGACTATTTTCTACTCTTACCTTTTAGAGTCTCCTAATGGGATCCTATATTTAATATTACTGAAATAATTTCTTTTTTAAATTTCTGAGCCAAACAGTAGTAAGTAAATTTATTATGGACATAATAAAATAAAAAAATAAGTCAAATTTGCATGTGTGTAAGTGTATGTATTCAAACTCTTTGTAATAATAGAAGACTAAGAATTTTACATTGCTTTTGCATACTTTTCTACTTTTATGTAAAAAACAAATGACATATCTTTGCACTAATAGTACTAATTGCAACTGACCTGACACTGTATAACCAGAAACTAAATTTTGGTAACTGAATTTTTAGTAAGAATTTTGTCTTTTAAGCTTTAAAATACCTCTATAAGATATCCTTAAAGATAGAATAAAATAGCCTAAAATCAAGAATGTTTTATCCCGCAAGTATCATTTAGATTTGAAAAAGAGATAAAGAGGTTTACCAACAAGCAAAAGCTAAGAGATCATCACCACTAACCTTGCTGACTCATTGGAAAAGATCTTGATGCTGGGAAAGATTGAGGGCAAGAGGAGAAGCAGGTGACAGATGATGAGATGGTTGGATGGCATCACTGACTCAATAGACATGAGTTTGAGCAAACTCAGGGAGATAGTGAAGGACAGGCAAGTCTGGCATGCTGCCATTCATGGGGTTGCAAAGAGTTGGACACGACATAGTGATGGAACAACAACAACTAAGCAAAAAATAAAAAAGGCCAGGAATAGACATAAGAATATTATGAAAGGAAAACCCTCATTGCTAATAACAAAAATATAGTTAAGGAAGTAGATCAATCACTTTTAAAGCTAATAAGAAGGTTAAAAGACAAAAGTAGTAAAAGTATCTATAATCATAATAAGTAATTAAGGGATATATACATAATATAAAAAGATGAAAAATATGATGTCAAAAACAAAACATAAATGTGAGGGAGTAAAAAGCAAGGTGCTTAGAATGCATTCAAACTTAAGAGATCATCAACTCAAAAATATACCTGTATAGAAAATACTGTTATATATGAACCTCATGGCAATCACAAACCCAAAAAAATAATAGATACATACAGAAAAAAGGAAAAGGAATCCAGACAAAACATTAAGACCATCATCCTATCACAAAAGAAGAGAAGAAAGGAACCAAAAACCACTATAAAAACAACCTCCAAACAATTAACAAATGACAATAAATACATACCTATTAATAATTACTTTAAATGTAAATGGACTAAATGCTTCAATTAAAAGACACAGAGTGGCTAAATGGATAAAGAAAAATAAGACTCATCTGTATGCTGCCTAAGGAGACACAGTTCAGATCTACACACACACACAAAGTGAGGAGTTAACAAAGGTATTCCATGAAAATGGAAACAAAACAAAAACTGGAATAGCAAAATTATATCAGACAAACTTAGACCTTAAAACAAAGACTATAACAAGACAGAAAAGGACATTGCATAATGACAAAGGGAAAAATCCAAAAAGAAGATTTAACAATTATAAATATAGGCATCTAACCTGCCTGCTAATGCAATAGACATAGTTGTGGGTTTGACCCCTGGGTCAGGAAGATCCCCTGGAGGAGGGCATGGCAACCCACTCCTTTTCTCTTGCCTGGAGAGTTCCATGGACAGAGGAGACTTGTGGGCTATAGTCCATAGGGTCACAAAGAGTTGGGCATGACTGAAGGGACTGAGCATGCACGCATGCAAATACATAGGGCAAGTATAAAGAAAAAAAATAAAACCTCACTAATAGTAGGGGATATTAACACCCCAGTTTTATCAATGAAGAGATCATTCTGACAGAAAACTAATAGGGAAATGCCTGTTTTAAATGACATATTAGACAATTAGATTTAATAGATATACATAGAAAATTCCATCCAAAAGCAACAGAACATACATTCCTTTCAAGTGCACTTGGAATAGTCTCTAGGATAGATCACCTTTCTAGGCCACAAAACAAATCTCTACAAATTCAAGAATATTGAATTCATATCAACTGTCTTTTCTGACCATGATCCATGTGATTACAAGGGGGAAAAAAAAGCTTCAAAAACCACACACATGGAATTTAAACAACACACTACTAAACAATCAAGGGGGTCATTGAAAAAATAAAAGAGCACACTAAAAAAAACTTGGAGGAAAATGAAAATGGAAACATAGCAATCAAAATCTATGGAACCTGTGATGACATAGAGGGGTGGGAGAGAGATTCAAGAGAGAGAGGATTTATGTATACTTATTGCTGATTCACTTTTTTGTACAGAAGAAAGTAATACAACATTGTAAGCAATTATATGCCAATAATAAAATAAGTAAATAAGCTAGATACAAAGTTAAAAAAACATTTATGGGACGTAGGATGAATGATTCTAAAGAGAAATGTTTATAGTGGTACAGAATACCTAAGAAAAGAAGAAAAATCTCAATCAACCCTTACAAGTAAAGTAACTGGAAAACAAAAACAAACAAAATGCAAAGTTAGTTGAAGGAAGAAGATAATAAATGACAGAATGGGAAAAAATAATGAAATAGTGACTGAAAACAAAAATAGAAATATCAATAAAGGTAAAAACTGCTTGTTTGAAAAGAAAACCAAAAATTGATAAACAATTAGCCAGACTAATCGAGAGAAAAAGAGTAGTCACAAATAAAATCATAAATGAAAGCTAACTAATACCACTAAAAATACAAAGGATCATAAGAGATTATTATGAATGATTATATGTCAATAAATTGGACAACCTAGAAGAAATGGATAAATTCCTATAAATGCACAGTCTCCCAAGACTAAATCAGGAATAAATATAAACTATGCACAAATTGATTACCAGTAATAGAACTGAATCAGTAATTAAAAATATCTCAGCAAAATTTTAGGACTGGAGGCTTCACAGATAAATTCTACCCAAAGTTTAAGGAAGAGTTAGCACCTGTAATTCTCACAATACTTCAAAAAATTGAAGAGAAAGGAGCACCTCTTAACTTCTTATAGAAGGCCAGCATTAATTTCAGATACCAAAAAAAGACAAACACTACAAAAAATTATAGCAAATATAACAAATGCACACAAATGCAAAACTTCTCAACACAATATTAGAAAACTGAATTCAAGAACACATTGAAAGCATCATACATCATGATGAACTGAGATTTTTCCCAGAGACACAAGGATGGTTTACTATCCACAAATCAATGATTTACTACATTAGCAAATTGAAGAATATAAA